GTGTGTGTGTGTGTACCTTGAATGCTGCCTAATGGAAACCTAACCTACTGCCAGCGAGTGAGCGGATTCTGACTGCACAGTGACCCAACCGGGCACGGCAGAAATGCTGCTGACGGTTTCCAAACGCTGAATCTTTAAGGGATCAGACCGCTGGGATAGGCCGCTCACCACATCTCCCTCAGTGCCACACAGGCTCCCTACCACTGCCCAGACTACCGAAAACGGAAAAAGGACACAATGCCGGTCACGTGTGTCCTTTGTATAAATGCACCTATGCCAAAATCTGCGTAGAAACTTGTTTAGACAGCTGAAACTGTCAGCGGGAGATGGGGGAGGGTAGCGTGATCTGTGATTCCTCTCCTGCGAGTCCACCTATCCACAGCCAAGGCTATTTGGGGGGTGGGCGGTGACAGTCGGGGTGAGGAATCCGTGGTTGGTTTCTACAGCAAAGGTTGGAGACGTGAGCCGATGCTGAGGTGCCTCATAAGAAAGGCGTGGCAGTCAAGATTTTGGAATGATCAGCCACTGAAAATCCTGCCGAGCACAGTTCTACTTGAACACAGTATTTGCTGCGGATAGAGGAAGAGGAAAACACACAAGGCAAATGGTGTGTGTGTGTGTGTGTGTGTAGCTCATAGTTACACATGTGCATGCATGTCTCCAAACCAAACCAAACTCACTGCTCATATTGACACTAGAGGACAATGGAGAACGAACTGCTCCTGTGAGTCTCCAGACGGTAACTCTTTAATGGAGCACGAAGCCTCCTCCTTCTCCCACAAGTGGCTGGTGGTTTTAAACTGCTGAACTTGTGGTTATCAGCCCAACGCACAACCACGACCCCACCAGGGATCTTTACACATGTCTGCTTACGTCGATTTTCTTAAGACAGGGCCTCCACTTTTGACTTGATCTCAAACACAGGACACCTGCTGAGAGCTCACTGGGAGCCACACATCTGCACACAGGCTTCAAAACAAAGCTGTCTAGTTGCCAACTGTATCCTCCCCACACTGTGTGGGCACTCCTGCGCCAAAGGAATTATGGGAGGCCTCCCAACTGCCCAGAATTGTAGAGAAATCCATGTCTCTTAAAGAGATGAGGTGAATACCAGGGATACTAAGTGACTTACTGGAAACAGGAAGACAGTGAAGAGACCTTAAAAATAATAAAGAGAAAAAAATTTTTAAACTTCAGCCCTTAAAAGTATTTGAAGGGCCAGAGGATTTTTAAGAGATTTATATATTTGGGGGGCTAGAGTTCAATGGTTTTCTATTTTCAACTGCTACTATGTCATGCATATGACTTGAAGTTTCCGATAATTGCAGACTAAGGCCTCCTGCTGCACTGGTTAACTGGAAAACCCTATTATGTACACTTAATCCCTGGACAACAGGCAGGTGAGAGCCACACATAGCAGAGGAAGTCCCTGTGAACACAAATCAGGAAGGCCCGAGTGCTCATGGGTCACAATGTGTGGGCACTCCCTCTTCTGTCTAAAGACGGCATCTTACCCAGGAAGGGCAAGCCTTGGTGAGCTGGAATTCCCCAGTTGTGAGATTTATCGTCTGCGTATCAATCCCAAACCTACAACGAAAAACAAGAAAACCATACGGTTAAAATAGCACAGTTGTTGTTTTCTTTTCTTTTGTTGCTTTGTTTTGCTGTCTTGTTTTTGTGTGTATTATTATCTCTGCAGGTCTATCCAAATAGGATAGGCAGGATAAGCAATCTGGAGGAGGAAACAATGGGACCAACAATTCCGGGGGGTGGGGCGTGGAGGGGAACATGGGAGAGGGGTGTGGGGGAAAGGAAATAGGTGTTAACAAACCCAGGGACAAAGGAACAACAAGTGATCCAAAATTGATGGTGAGGAGGGTGTAGGAGGCCTGGTTGGGCTTGATCAAGGGCAATGTAACCAAGAGGAATTACTGAAAGGCTGAGCATGATAGTGGGACAAGAGGAAAGTAAAAGGAAATAGAGGAAAGAACTCGGAGGCAAAGGGCACTTATAGAGGTCTAAATACAGGCACGTACATATGTAAATATAGTTATATATGATGAGGAAATAGATCTATGTGCACATATTTATTTGGTTTAGTATTAAGGTAGCAGATGGGCATTGGGCCTCTACTCAAGTACTCCCGCAATGCAAGAACACTTTGTTCTATTAAACTGGAATTCCATGATGCTCACCTTCCCGACACCATAACTGAAGACATAGCAGGTGCATAAGAAAATGTGAAGAAAGCTGATGGTGCCCGGCTATCAAAAGATACAGCATCTGGGGTCTTAAAGATATAAACAAGCGG